AGCTATGATTTTGTCCCACCTTTTTTTTGAGACGGAGTCTCGCTCTGTCGCCCAGGCTGGAGTGCAGTGGCCAGATCTCAGCTCACTGCAAGCTCCGCCTCCCGGGTTCACACCATTCTCCGGCCTCAGCCTCCCGAGTAGCTGGGACTACAGGCGCCCGCCACCTCGCCCGGCTAGTTTTTTGTATTTCTTAATAGAGACGGGGTTTCACCGTGTTAGCCAGGATGGTCTCGATCTCCTGACCTCGTGATCCGCCCGTCTCGGCCTCCCAAAGTGCTGGGATTACAGGCTTGAGCCACCGCGCCCGGCCTGTCCCCCCTTTATTAACAAAATAAGGAAGTATGAAAAGTAATCTTGACATCTGAGATGGTGAGATTACGGATTTTTTTTTTTTTTTTTTTGAGATGGAGTTGCCCAGGCTGGAGTACAATGACACGATCTCGGCTCACTTTAACCTCTGTCTCCGGGGTTCAAGTGATTCTCCTGCTTCAGCCTCCTGAGTATGGGATTACAGGCACCCACCACGACACCCGACTAATTTTTTTTGTATTTTTAGTAGAGACAGGGTTTCACCATGTTTGTCAGGCTGGGCTAGTACTCCTGACCTCATGATCCGCCTGCCTCAGCCTCTCAAAGTGCTGGGATTACAGATGTGAGCCACTGTACCCAGCCCAGATAATTTTTATAGTTATATTTTTCTAAAATACTTTTTTAAAAAAATGAACATATACTTCATTTTTTTGTTGTTGTTGAGTTTTTGTTTTGTTTTGTTTTTTTGAGACAGAGTCTCACTCTGTCACCGAGGCCACACCCGGCTAATTTTTGTATTTTTTAGTAGAGATAGAGTTTCACCATATTGGACAGGCTGGTCTCAAACTCCTGACCTAGTGATCCACCCACCTCAGCCTCCCAAAGTGCTGGGATTACAGGCGTGAGCCACCACGCCCGGCTAAAAAAGTGAACATATATTTCATAAGCGAGAGCAGAAAATGTTTTCAAACCTGATCATGTTCTAAAAAGAGACCAGCCCAGCCCTACGTCCCCCTGCCCTGCAGGGCTAACTGTGGCTGCCCTGGGCAGCTATGGACTCCAGGCTGAGGCCTGAGAACAAGGCACAGCCACACGACCTGTGCTAGACAAATGCTAGAATGATGGTCATGCAGGTTAGAATGAACCCAAGTAGATAGAGGCCTCAGGATCAGGGTGAGACCAGAGGGGGCACCTGGGTGCAAAATTTAAGGAAGCACTTTTTTTTTTTTTTTTTTTTTTCCTTAAGCCACGATCTTGCTCTGTTGGCCAGGCTGGAGTGCAGGGCTATGATTGCAGCTCACTGCAGCCTCTGCCTCCCAGGCTCAAGCAATCCAGTCACCTCAGCTGAGTCACTGGGGCTACAGGCTCGCACCACCAGACCTGGCTTTTTTTTTTTTTTTTTTTTTAAGGTCTTAGTAGAGACAGGGTCTCACAGGGTCTCGCCGTATTGCCCGAGCTAGTCTGGAACTTATGGGCTCAAGCCGTCCTCCCACCTCAGCCTCCCAAAGTGCTGGGATTACGGGCCTGAGCCACCGCGCCCGGCCCTGAGGCATTCGTTTTAAGACCCACCCTGCATTTGGATGGCACTGAGAGTCGGGGCCTCCTTAGATGTGGGCTCCTGCATGCTTCACTGTCTTCACCTGGCCCCAGCCTCATGGGTGCAGCTCCCTTCTCTTTGGCAGCAGGAAGGACTCTAGAAGGATGTGCTGAGACCCTGGGGCTCCCTGAGACTGAGTGAGCCGGAGGTCACCAAGGCCCTCGGCCTATCCCGGGGGAGAGGTCCATTGAAAGCCAGTGGTCAGATGGCCGCTGTGGAGGGTCTCTGGGTGGACAGTTGGGAGCAGAGTGGTCCCTGCAGTGAGGCAGGGGGCAGGGCATGAGTGGTCCCTGCAGTGAGGCCAGGGGCAGGGTGTCTACTCATAAGCACATGAGGAGTTACAGAAGCAGAGCCGACCTGGCCACACCCAGTAACTCAGACCCTGGCCACAGATGGTGTCTGGAGCTCCCACAGCAGGCAGGGCCACCCCTGCTTCTGTGGTTCTGAGAGCCGCCAAGACCTAGCAGGCCCACTGGCCCCACCCTGGATGATCTGGCATTTGGCCCAAGATGCTGGAGGACCCACAGCAGCAGCTGTGAGGAGTGCTGCAGGGTCTGGAGGGCCTGATGTGTGCCCGGATCAGAGCACCTGCCGGTGTGGCCATAAGCAGGCACACAGCTGGAGCCAGGCACGGTGGCTCACGCCTGTAATCCCAGCACTTTGGGAGGCCGAGGTGGGCAGATCACGGAGGTGCAGAGGTTGTGTGTTGGTTGTGTGTTCATCCTGTAGCTACCGCTCGCTGCTCGCTGTGTGAAAGTTCTTCTCTCCTTGTTTTTTGTTTTTTTTTGCGAAGATAAGATTAGCCAAGAAGAATGAGTTGGGTGAGCCGGCGGTGGCGGCGGCCGTGTTGTAGTCCAGCTACTCAGGGAGGCTGAGCAGAGGAAGCGTGAACCGGGAAAGCAGAGCTGCGAGAGTGAACTGACGATGCGCGCAGACTGAACTCCACTGGGCGCAACAGGAGGCAAGACTCGGTCTCGTTAAAGAAAAAAAAAGAAAAAAAAAAGAAAGCGGGCGCGTGCCGGGCGGTGGGCTCAAGCACTGTAATCCAGGCACGCTGTTGGTAGACCGGGAGCGGGGGGTGGATCACGGAGGTCAGAGGAGAGCGAGACCATCCTGGCCTAACTGGTGAACCCCGTCTCTACTAAGAAATACAAAAAGATCTAGCGGGGCGTCGTGTGGTGGCGGGCGCCTGTGTGCGCAGTACTCAGGAAGGCTGAGGCAGTGAGGGAGAGATGCGGTCGGAACTCCGGGGAGGCGGAGGCTTGCAGGGTAGCCGGAGGAGGTCGCGCCACTGCACTCTCAGTCTGGGGTGAGCGCACAGCCGCGAGACTCGCGGTCTAAAAAAAAAAAAAAAAAGGCACACATCTGTCCTCATAAAGCTTCTGTGCATAGCACGAGGTTAAGCCTCCTTGCTCTTTGTCATGTTCCATCTGTAGCCATTCAGGTAGATGGCATAATTTCCACTTTATAGATAAGAAAACTGAGGCTCTGGATGTGAAGAAGCTTCACTAAGTAAGCGCTGAAATGTGGTGAAACCAACTCCAGAGTCCGTGCTCCCTCCCAGAGGGGTCCGGCTCTCACTTACCGCCCACCAGGGCACCGTGCCTTCCCAAGTTGTGCAGCAAGAGCCCACCGGTCCCATGCCCTTGGGGCTGGGCGGTGGCCCCCACCGGCCTTCTGAGTTAGACCCTGGGGAGTGAGTGGTATTTCTGGTTCATACTCAGAATTGTAGTTTGGATTTTCCCACAAGTGTTCTCCTTCCCCTTCCATAGAGATAGACAGATACACACACACAGGCAGAGATCTATAAACGCTATAAAAGGCAGGCTCTGGCCGGGCGCGGTGACTCATACCTGTAATCCTAGCACTTTGGGAGGCCGAGGAGGGGCAGATCACATGAGGCCAGGAGTTCAAGACCAACCTGGCCAATATGGTGAAACCTCATTTCTACTAAAAATACAAAAATTAGCTGGGTGTGGTGGCACGGCCAGTAACCCCAGCTGCTTGGGAGGCCAAAGCACAGGTGGCCCAGCCAGTAACCCCAGCTGCTTGGGAGGCTGAAGCACAAGAATCACTTAAGCCCCAGAGGTGGAGGCTGCAGTGAGCCAAGATCGAGCCCCTGCACTCCAGCCTGGGTGACAGAGCAAGACCCTATCTCAAAAAATAAATAAAAATTAAAAAGGCTCTGTGCTGTAGCCTCCCGTGTTTCCTCTACCCGGATGGTGTTGGGGGTGGGGGGTGCAGTGAGGAGGGGCCCAGGGCACAGAAGGGCTGGGCTGCAGCAGCCTCCTGCGGGGAGGGCAGATGCCTCCAGTGCTCCGCGCCCACCCCACTCCACAGGCCAGTGTTTGCTCAGTCCTTTATCGAGGGACCAGGGATGGACAGCCTGGCCCTGGAAGTCTCAGTTTTGGAGGAGTCAGCCTGTGTGCAGGGACAGCTGGAGAGAGGTCGTGGGGCTCACAGTGCCTTCCCGGAGGAAGCAAGCAGCTCCCATCGGGTATATCGAGGGCTGTGGGCTCCGGGGTCTCCTCCAGGTCTGGCAGGTGGAGGGGAGGCTGTCCAAGGAAAGGAGGTGGTCCCAGATGTCTCAAGGCATCTGGCAGCACTGGCTGCTGCTGCCTCAGCCTCCTCCCTGTGCCCCTGTGGGCCATGGTGAGCAGCGGTGACCACCACACAGGTGCAGGACAGCCGGTGATGAGAGATGCGATGAGAGTTGAGGGCGATTGTGTTGCTCTTGGTCCTTGTGTGGTGAGAACATGCTGGAAGCTCCTCCGGAGCAGAAACAAGAAAAGCGTTAACAAGAAAGGTACAGGCGGCTCAGATGCGGACAGAACCACACCGGGGAGCGGGGCCACAAAGTAAGCCACTTTCTCTGCACCTGCTCGCGCTTCCTACCTGCCTCACTGCTTCCATGCCCTGACCCCGGTGGTCCCCGCTCCCCACACGTGGGCTGCAGCTACTCACACATGCGTTCCCGCTACTTCTAAAGCCCACACTCCCATGACCCAGAGAGGGAGAAGCCAGCCAGCCGAGTCCAGGAGCCCAGAACACCCATCAGCAGATATAGCTTAGACTTGGCAGGAGGCTAGAACAAGAGGCTTGTGACCTGGGCTGTGCGGCCATCTTGTAGAATACGGCACTGTTCACGTTTTGGGCCAGGGAGCCCTTTGAGAAGATACTCAGAGACACAGACACTTCCTATGTAAGGTGTCCCTACAGGCAGGATCTCACACACGTTTCAGGTCCTTCACAGTGCTACGGAAAATGAGGCCACAGGCTCCGAGTTTACTGCAAGCTTCAGGGTTTGCTGACGCCTACACTTCTCAGCGTGTGGCATCTCACACCAGCCCGGGGCCTCCCATTTCCTGTGGCAGGTTTTCGTGACACCCAGTTATGACCTGGCAGGTGGAGGGGAGGCTGTCCAAGGAAAGGAGGTGCCTGTGGTCAGCAGAGGAGGAACCTTGTTCCACTGAGGCAGGAAGATGAGACACTGGGTTCTCTTGATAGGTTCACCAGCAGACCCTGTGAAATTCATAATGGCCCCTAAGGTAGGGGTTGCCTGACATGTTCAACTTGGATTTAACCCTTAAGGCATAAGAAACCACTAAACAACATTCAGACATTAGAAAACTAGGGCCAGGTGCGGTGGCTGACTCCTGTCATCCCAGCAATTTGGGAGGCTGAAGCGGGCGGATCACTTAGAGTCAGGAGTTTGAGACCGGTCTGGCCAACGTGGTGAACCCCATCTCTACTAAAAATACAAAAAAAGGTTGGGTGTGGTGACACACGCCTGTAATCCCAGCTACGCGGGAGGCTGAGGCAGGAGATACTTGAACCCGGGATATGGAGGTTGCAGTGAGCTGAGATTGCGCCACTGCACTCCATCCTGGGCCACAGAGCGAGAATCTGTCTCAAAAAAAAAAGAAAAGGAAAAAGAAAACTGGTGAAGACTGAGGTAAACCACAAGATTGTCCAGGCTTTCTGCGTGGAGGCAATTTGCAGACTCACAAGCAGAGAACCCAACAAAACCCAAACTTTGGGGAAGCTGAGGCAGCCAGAATTTGTGGGGTATGGTACCAGAAAGGAAGGAGTTATGCCCAAAAGAAAGAGCTCCGGCAGTCTGAACGTGAGCCTGCTTGCATCTTGGGCTGGATCCGATTTGCTGGTGTAAAGTGAAACCTCGTGAAGCCGGACCAAGAGCAACTTGAAGGGGAAGAGTAAGTGTAAGGGGACAGGACTCACACGGGGCCATGGTTATTTCAGTTCCCACCAGCTGGAGTGTAGAAGCCACTTTAAATACACAGAGCATTCCTGAGACCTTAGAGGAACCACAGCTTGAAGTGGCGCAGAATAACCTGGAAAGGAAAGGCCACTCCAAATGCCACGGAAACAAGTGCAAGGCAAGCCCTGGAGACACCACTGCCTGCTAGCACGGGGTACGCACAGCACTCTTGAAGACAGAAGCCAGGCGAAGTGGCTCACACCTGGAATCCTGGCACTTTGGGAGGCCGAAACGGGGATCATCTGAGGTCAGGAGTTCAAGACCAGCCTGGCCAACATGGCGAAACCCCGTCTCTACTACAGAAAATTAGCCATATGTGGTGATGGGCGCCTGTAGTCCCAGCTACTTGGGAGGCTGAGGCAAGAGAATCACATGAGCCTGGGAGGCGGAGGCTACAGTGAGCCGAGATCGCATCACTGCACTCCAGCCTGGGCAACAGAGCAAGACTCCGTCTCAAAAAAAAAAAAAAATTTCACATCCAGAATCTAATCAATAACTGGCAGACAAGCCAAGGCAGGAAAATGGACTTGTCACTGGAGGGGGATAGTCCAGTAGTAGGACTGGTTTTGATAGGATTAGCCAACAAAGAGTAAACAATTATAAAAACATTCTGTGTGCTCAAGGAAATAACGCAAAAACATGACTGAGGGCGGGGCGGTGGCTCACGCCTGTAATACCAGCACTTTGGGAGGCCGAGGCAGGTGGATCACAAGGTCAGGAGTTCGAGACCATACTGCCTAACACGGTGAAACCCCGTCTCTACTAAAAATACAAAAAATTAGCCAGGCATGGTGGCAGGCGCCTGTAGTCCCAGCTACTGGGGAGGCTGAGGCAGGAGAATGGTGTGAACCCAGGAGGCGGAGCTTGCAGTGAGCCGAGATCATGCCACTGTACTCCAGCCTGGGCGACAGAATAAGACTCCGTCTCAAAAAAAAAATGACTGAGAAATGGAAGATACAGAAAAGAAGCAAGTTGGACAAAATGTCACTGGAACTAATCTCCCACGTAGAAGAATTCCACGTTGTTTACTGAGATAGTTCCCCTTGGAGGAGGTGACGCTTACCTCCTCACTCCGGAAGCCTGGGCTGCACCTAGTGACCCCTTCCAAAGAGCAGAGCACAGAAGCCGGAGGAGCAGCTTTCCAGTGGGGACCTCCAGCAGCACAGCCTCACCAGGGGTCACGGTCACCATCAGCAGTGACATCGTATCCCTGTTGTGTACTCTTTATTTTATTTATTTATTTTTTTGAGACGGAGTCTCGCTCTGTCGCCAGGCTGGAGTGCGGTGGCACGGTCTCAGCTCACTGCAACCTCTGCCTTCCGCGTCCGAGCAATTCTCCCACCTCAGCCTCCCGAGTAGCTGGGACTACGGGCGCCCGCCACCACGTCCAGCAAATTTTTTTGTATTTTTGGTAGAGACGGGGTTTCACTGTGTTAGCCAGGATGGTCTCGATCTCCTGACCCCATGATCTGCCCGCCTCAGCCTCCCAAAGTGCTGGGATTACAGGCGTGAGCCACCACGCCCGGCCTGTTGTATACTTGATAGGATGATGAGAACAGCACTCTACCTCTTTGATCTTCCTCCCGAAAACATACGTAACCCCAGCTAATAATGAAAAAACATCAAACAAATCCAAATTGAGAGACATTCTGCAAACTATTTGACGAGTCCTCAAAATTGTCAAGGTTCTCAAAAACTAGGCAAGTCTGGAAGTTGTCAGAGCCGGTGGAACTGAAGGAGATGTGACAACTGGATGGATCTTGGATGACGTCCTGGAGCAGAGGAAGGATTGGGTGAAAACCTAAGGAATCTAAATAGAATATGGGCCCTAGTTAACAATGTGTCTAATGTTCTTGAGACAAATGCACCACACAAAGGCACGGTGTTAACGATGGGGGACACTGGTGTAGGGCATGTATTCTAAAGTAAAAAGGTGGTTCTTCAGATTCACCGCAGTGGTTTGACAAAACATTAGAAACTTCCGAAGAAAAGATTCCCGAATTAAAAGCAATGGAAACTATCCACAGTGATGTACAGAGAGAAAAAGGACTGCAAAAACTTAGCCGAGCTTCAAGGAGATAATATCATGTGGTCTAACGTATTTGAGGTTCCAGAAAATAGTGGGGAAGAGAATACAGAAATATGACCAAAAGGCCGGGCACGGTGGCTCCTGCCCGAGATCCCAGCACTTTGGGAGGCTGAGGTGGGCAGATCGCTTGAGCCCAGGAGTTCAAGACCAGCCTGGGCAATATAGCGAGACCCCCGTCTCTATAAATAATACAAAATTAGCCGGGCATGGTAGTGCCTACCTGTGGTCCCAACTACTCAGGAGGCTGAGGCGGGAGGATCACCTGAACTCAGGAGGTGGAGGCTGCAGTGAGCCATGATCAGACCACTGCACTGCAGCCAGGGCAACAGAGTCTCCTGCACTGCAGCCTGGGCAACAGAGACCCTGTCTCAAAAAAAAAAAAAGAAATATTAGGCTGGGCACGGTGGCTCACGCCTGTAATCCCAGCACTTTGGGAGGCCGAGACGGGCGGGTCATGAGGTCAGGAGACCGAGACTATCCTGGCTAACGTGGTGAAACCCCGACTCTACTAAAAATACAAAAAACTAGCCGGGCGTGGTGGCGGGTGCCTGTAGTCCCAGCTACTTGGGAGGCTGAGGCAGGAGAATGGTGTGAACCTGGGAGGCAGAGCTTGCAGTGAGCTGAGATCCGGCCACTGCACTCCAGCCTGGGCCACAGAATGAGACTCCTCTCTAAATAAATAAATAAATAAAGCATCCGGAAGAGCCGTACGCAGTGGTGGCGCCTGTGGTGCCAGCTAGTCAGAGGCTAAGGTGGAAGGATTGGTCCCAGATAGGGCAACATAGTAGGACCCCATCAATACAAATAATAATAATAATTTTTAAAAAGCAACTAGGAAGGGAAAGGAAATTGCATGCAGAAGAACAAAAGAAAAAGACAAGAATGACTGCCAGTTTCTCATCAGAAACCGTGTAAGGCATATGACCAGAATAAAAGGCTTAAGACGCAAGTCTGGTTCAGCGTTCTCACTCAGCACAATTCACCGTGTCAATAGAAAAGAAGAAGAACCATGTGATCTTCTCAACAGAAGCAAGAAAAGCATTTGACAAAACTTAACATCTGTTTCATGATAAAAACTCAGCACACGAGGAATAGAAGGGGAATTCCTCATTCTAATGACCGTCTAAAAACTCGACAGCTGACTTTGTCCTTACTTGGGAAAAACGGAATGCTCTCCTCCAAGACTGAAAGAAGGCGGGGATGTGTGCCTCTGCCACGTCTGTTTAACAATCCATTCGACGTCGTCATCAGCGCAGCATGTCTAGGAAATAAAAGACGTAGACATTAGAAAGGAAGAAAGAAAAGTGATTCCGTTCATGGACAGCATGACCGTTGACTTAGAAAATCCCAAATAGTCTACAAGAAAGTTAGTAGAGCTAATAAATGCGTTTAGTGAGGCCACAAGACACAAGGTCGTTATACAAAGATAAATTGTATTTCCGCACACTAGCAACAAACTATTGAAAATTGAAAATATTCGACCGGGCGTCGTAGCTCACACCTGTAATCCCAGCATTTTCAGAGGCCGAGGCAGGTGAATCACCTGAGGTCAGGGGTTCGAGACCAGCCTGGCCAACACAGCGAAACCCCATCTCTACTAAAATACAAAAATTAGCCAGGCGTGGTGGCGCGCACCTATAGTCCCAGCTACTCAGGAGGCTGAGATAGGATAATTGCCTGAACCTAGGAGTCGGAGGTTGCAGTGAGCCGAGATCACGCCACTGCCTTCCAGCCTGGGTGACCAAGTAAGACCTGTCTCAAAGAAAAAAAAAAATTATTATCCGTTTCCGAGACTCGTGAATTGATTCCAGCTCAAGGTTTCTGAGGCCGACGTCATCTCTAGGCTCAACTGAGGATGAAATACACTTCCAACTTCCCTCAATGCTTGTTGACAGGCCACAGTTTCTCGCTGGCTATTGGCAAGAGACTTTAATTCCTTATCAAGTGAGCCTCTCCACAGAGCTGTTTGTAACATGGCAGCTTGCCTCTCCAAAAGCAAGTGACCGAAGAGAGCCAGAGCCCAAGGCGGCTTTTGCAGTTTGTTCTCAAATGGCATCACCTCTGCGTTTGGTCACACAGGACACAGGACAACCGTGGTACATGGCGGGAGGAGATAGCTCAAGGGTGTGGACACCAGAAGTGGGATCAACAGGGGGCCATCGGCAGGCTAGTTAATAGGGATAAATTAGCCGGGTGCAGTGGCTCATTCCTGTAATCCCAGCACTTTGGAAGGCCGAGGCAGGCAGATCACAAGGTCAGGAGTTCGAGACCAGCCTGGCCAAGGTGGTGAAACCTCATCTTTACTAAAAATACAAAAAGTATCTGGGCATGGTGGCAGGCATCTGTAGTCCCAGCTACTCAGGAGCCTGAGGCAGAAGAATCGCTTGAACCTGGGAGGTGGAGGTTGCAGTGAGCCGAGATCGCACCACTGCACTCCAGCCCACGCAACAGAGTGAGATTCTGTCTCAAAAGAAAAAAAGGCCGGGTGGGGGATAAATTGAAGACCTAAATAAATGGAGAGAAATACCATGGTCATGGGACAGAAGACTTAGTATTATTAAAAGGAGAACAAAATTAGAAGATTCACACTATCTGATTTCAAGACACTATAAAGCTCCAGTAATCAAGACTGAACAATATTAGCATAAATATAAACATGTAAACAAATGGAGCAGACTATAGATTTCAGAAATAGACTCACCCATCTAAGGCTGACTGATCTTGACAAAGGTGCCACTAGTTCAATGGAGAAATAATCGTCTGTTCAGCAAACAGTGCTGGGATAACTGGACGTCCATAAACAAAAAGGTGAGCCTTGTCCTTTACCTCACACCATATACGAAACTAACTAAGAATGGATTGGAGACTAAAATATGAGCTAAGACAACAAAACTTCTAGAGAAAAAAAAAACCCTTGGATCTTGAGTTAGGAGACAAAATCACCAAATAGGAAAAAATTGATAAAGTCGACTTCATCAAAGTTAAAAACATCCACTCTTTGAAATACACTGTTAGGGAATTAAGAAGCAAATCACACACTATATTTGCAAAGCATATATCTGGTACCAAGAATATATTTTTTAAAGAATTTTTGGCCAGGCACAGTGACTCACGCCTGTAATCCCAACACTTGGGGAGGCTGAAGCAGGTGAATCACTTGAGGTCAGGAGTTTGAGACCAGCTTGGCCAACATGGTGAAACCTTGTCTCTACTAAAAATACAAAAATTAGCTGGGTGTGGTGGCAGGTGCCTGTAGTCCCAGCTACTTGGGAGGCTGAGGCGGGAGAATCGGTTGAACCCGGGAGGCAGAGGTTGCAGTGAGCCGAGGTCGTGCCATTGCACTCTAGCCTGGGCGATGGAGCGAGATTCCATCTCAAATAATAATAAATAAATAAACGACAAGTGGCTGAGCATGGTAGCTGACACCTGTAATCCCAACACTTTGGGAGGCCAGCGTGGGTAGATCGCTTCCACTCAGGAGTTTGAGACCAGCCTGGGCAACATAGGGAGACCCACCTCTACAAAAATGAGCCCGGCGTGGTGGTGTGCTCCTGTGGTGCCAGCTACTCGGGAGGCTGCGGGGGGAGGATCTCTTGGTCCCAGGAGGTAGAGATTGCAGTAAGTCAAGATCGCGCCACTGCAGTCCAGCCTGGGTGACAAAGCAAGACTCTGTCTCAAAAAAAAAAAAACGTATATTGAAAAAGGCAAAAGATTTGAACAGATACATCAATAAAAGACAAATAGCAAATAAGCATTTGAACAGATGCTCAGCATCATTACTTGTAAGAGAAATGCACACGAAAACCTCAGTGACAGCTACTAGAACAGCCAACAGGCCGGGCACAGTGGCTCACACCTGTAATCCCAGCACTTTGGGAGGCTGAGACAGGCGGATCACGAGGTCAAGAGATGGAGACCATCCTGGCTAACACGGTGAAACCTCGTCTCTACTAAAAATTAAAAAAAAATTAGCCGGGCGTGGTGACGGACGCCTGTAGTCCCAGCTACTCCGGAAGCTGAGGCAGGAGAATGGCGTGAACCCGGGAGGCGGAAGTTGCAGTGAGCCGAGATTGCGCCACTGCACTCCAGCCTGGGGGACAGAGCAAGAGACTCCGTCTCAAAAAAAAGAAAAAACAGCCAACACCACCAGGTGCTGAGGAGGGCACGGAGCCACTGGAACTCACCCGTGCTGCTGAGAACACAAATGCTATATCCTCTTTGAAAAGCAGCTTGGGAGTTGCATGTGAAATTCAGCATTTACCACCCGGCCAGCAGCTCTGCTTTGGTTATTGTACTGTTCAGCTCTAGAATTTCCATTGGGGGTTCTTTATGATTTCGTCTCTTTTATCATTTTTTTGGTATAGATGGGGGTCTCGCTATTTGGATTATTGTTTGCAGGGGTGTTCTGTGGGGTTTTGAGCAGTGGCAGTTTCTGAGGTCAGTCAGGGTTGTTCTGGCTGCAGCGGGGCTCTTCATAGCTTGCCCTTTGCAGGAGAACAAGCCTGTGGTTTTACTTGTTTCTCTTACTCTAGAGGAGCTGTCGTTTCTGAGAGCACTCTTGGGCTGAACTTTCAGATAAAATGAGTTTCCTCGGGGAGCTTCAGAGCCCTTTCCTTATGGACAGCCTCTCTCCCCACCCAGGCTCATTCTCTACCACCGCTCTGGGCACCGGGCAGGACAGCAGCCTCTGATCTTCTTGGCCTGGCTTTCCCAGCATGGGTGCTCTACCCTGCAGTTTTAACCCAGAAAGCCTGAATTGTATTTAAAACGTGTGGTTTTTAAGGCCAGGCACAGTGGCTCATGCCTGTCATCCCAGCACTTTGGGAAGCCGAGGTGGGTGGATCACTTACGGTCAGGAGTTCAAGACCAGCCTGGCCAACCTGGTGAAAGCCTGTCTCTACTAAAAATATAAAAATTAGCCAGGTGTGGTGGCGCACGCCTGTAATCCCAGCTACTCAGGACGCTGAGGCAGAAGAATCGCTTGAACCCAGGAGGTGGAGGTTGCAGTGAGCCAAGATGGTGCCGCTGTACTCTAGCCTAGGTGACAGAGAGAGACTCCATCTCAAAAAAAAAAAAAAAAAGTGGTTTTGAAAATGCTTTAATCAGGTGGGAGCTGCCGGGAGGGTGGTCAGAGACCTGGGTGTCCTCAGCCTGCTGTGGCTGTGGCAGAGCTCCTCTCTGAGGCGTGGGCAAGGTGGAGGAGGGAGCCCCTGGCGTCTTGGCCACATGCTCCAGCAGCTTAGTCTCTTCAGCTTGGAGTCGGTGAGGATGAGAAACTCTGGTGGTCTGCCCAGCCCGTGAGATCCGGGAAACCTTACTCGGGAACTGAGGGGAGAAGGGTCCCCATCTTCCTGCTCCCCTTCCCTGAGTGTAGTGCCCATCATGGCGAGCTGGGGTGAGAGGGAAAGAAGAGGCTGAGGTTCAGATGCCACCAGGCTCACTGTTCGTACCAGGCATCGGTAGATTTTACTCCATAAGTGTTTATCTGTTAACATGCCTTTAGGACAGTTTTGAGACCTTAAATGGTTTAAGTCAGCTTTGCTTGTTTCACAGGAAGTACTTCCACGAAGGTCCTCGCATTGCTGTCCCAGCAGTGGAAATCTCTCCATTTTCAAAGCGTAGTTTTGCCGGATGTTGAATTTTTATGTTTTGTAGAGATGGGATCTCGCGATGTTGCCCAGACTGGTCTCCAACTCCTGGGCTCAAGGGATCCTCCTGCCTTAGCCTCCCAAAGTGCTCGGATTACAGGCCTGAGTCCCACACCCGGCCAGTATACAAAGATTGAGTGGCAGGGTCTTTTATTTTAATACTTTTATTTGTTTTGGTTTGTTTTTGTTTTTGTTTTTGTTTTTGTTTTTGTTTTTGTTTGGAGATGGAGTCTCGCTCTGTCGCCCAGGCTGGAGGGCGGTGGCGCAATCTCCACTTACTACAACCTCCACCTCCCAGGTTCAAGCAATTCTCCTGCCTCAACCTCCTGAGTAGCTGGGATTACAGGCGCCCGACACCACGTCCAGCTAATTTTTTTGTATTTTTAGTAGAGACGGGGTTTCACCATGTTGGTCAGGCTGGTCTCAAACTCCTGACCTCAAATGATCCACCCACCTCAGCCTCCCAAAGTGTTGGGATTACAGATGTGAGCCACCACACCAGCCATTTTAATACTTTTTTTTTTTTTGAGACAGAGTCTCGCTGTGTCCCCCAGGCTGGAGTGCAGTGGGGTGATCTCGGCTCACTGCAACCTCTGCCTCCCAGGTTCAAGCGATTCTTCTACCTCAGCCTCCCAAGTAGCTGGGACTACAGGCACAGGCCACCACGCCCAGCTAATTTTTATATTTTTAGTAGAGATGGGGTTTCCCCATGTTGGCCAGACTGGTCTCGAATTCCTGACCTCAGGTGATCTGCCCGGCTCAGCCTCCCAAAATGCTGGGATTACAGGCGTAAGCCACTGCACCCAGCTGTGTTACACTTTTTGTGGTGTCTCACAGGTCTCTGAGGCTCTGCTCATTTTTGTTTTTGTTTTTGTTT